TATAAAGTCCTAGTTGTCAATCATTGACCTTAATTCTCAGGCAAATTAGATCCTTTCCAGGAAGTCCTTTCCTACAGGTATATATGCAGGGTAGTGCCTAGGTTTTCATCCAGCAATTTCAGTGTTTAGGGTTTCACATTTACCTCTTTGACCAATTTATATTTAGATTTTATGCAATATGATACATATGTCTAGTTTGATTCTTCTGCATGTGAACATCCAGTTATCCCAGTATCATTTATTGAAGATGGTTTCTTTCCCCAGAGTATGAGTTTGGCATCTTTATCCAATATTAAATGACTGAAGTTAGGTGTTTCAGTCTTCAGTTTTCTTCCATTGATGTACATGTCTGGTTTTGTGCCGGTGCTATGTTATTTTACTTACTACGATTCTGTAATGCATCTGAGATCTGGAATGGTGATACCTCCAGCATTATTCTTTTTGCTCAGGATTGTTTTAGCTATCCTGGGTCTTTTCTGGTTCTACATGAGTTTTAGATTTTTTTTTTCACTTCTGTAAAAAGTAAGATGGGGATTATGATTGGGATTGTTTTGAATCAATATACACCATTTGATAAAATGGTAATTTTCACTATATTGATTCTACCAACCCCCAAGCATGAAACAGCTTACCATTTTCTCACGCCTTTCTTTAGAGTATAAATTTTCACTGTAGAGGTCTTTCACTTCCTTGGTTAGGTTTATTACTAGATATTTTATTTTCTTTCAGGCTACTGTGAATGAGAATATGTCCATGATCTCTTCCTCTATGGTTTTTGGTAGTGTATATAAAAGATTGATTTGTGTAAGTTAATTCTGTATCTTGCTACACTGAAGAATTTATCATTTTATAGAAGCTTTCTAGTAAAATTGTGGAAATATCAAATGTATAATATATCATCTGTAAATAGAGATAGTTTTTATAAAATTTCATATCCATTTATCTTTTTTTTCATTTTACCTTATTGCTCTAGTATGTGCTTCTAGCACAATATTGACAAGAACTCAAAATACAGTTGGCAAGTAAAAGCAGGGTTTATTTAATGCTCCCCCATCAATGTATACACTGTCAATAAAACCACAAAGCTATTAATAGGTTGATCATCAGGTCTGGGGAGATGGTTCAGTTGATAAAGTGCTTGCCCCCTGAGCCAAGCAAACTCTGGGTGAACATGGTGGCTTGCCTTTAATTCCAGCTCTAGAAAGGCAGAGTGGGATTCCAAGAGTAAGCTGGCTAGCTAGAACAGTTCAATCAGTGAGGGCTGGGTAGAGCTGAGGGGACCTGCCGTCAAGAATAAAGTAGAGAATGACCGAGGAAGAGGAAAACGGCAGACATCCGTGTCAGGCTTCCAAATACACCTGCACACAGAATGACATACACCCTTCCACACGTGCATGACACATACTGGAACATATTTATACAGTCATGCATACCACAGACACTGTAATGGGGATGAGGCTCCTCCATCTTTTTCCTGATGTAGTCATTTAAGGTCTGACTCAGAACAGAACTCCCTACCCCTACTCTCTCCTATAGGAAAGTACCTTAAAAAAAATCATCCAACCCTACCCCTGCTGCTTTCTGCTTCTGTTAAACTGCTTGCTTGCTATCCTTGCCTGCAACTGGCCACCAGGATAGGGTTTTTGCCTTTAAAAGCTCCTTGCAGAAAGCAGTCGGGACTCTGTGAGAATAGTTCGCCCTCCAGGCAGCCTCCAGCTGGCTTAATAAAAACTCTCAAATTCGGACTCTGATTTTGCAAATGGTCCTGGGGTCTCTGCCCCATGGCCAACAAAATATACATGCAATAAAAACAAACAGAATCCTCAGTATTTCACACGTTTGGACATGTGGTGAGTTCACTTAACATCTCTTCTCAGCAAATCGTAAGCATTTGTGTCCTAAAACTAAACGTTGTTGGTAAGATGGTTTCTTATTTGTCAGACACAGTAAGTAAAACTAATGTAAAAGAACACACAGGTAAGAATTTTAGGAGTCAAGTCCAAATACGCAAAAAATTCATCTTAATTCTATCTATACATAATATACAAATATATGTATATAATATATATACAATATATAACTGCTATATATTGTGATAAGTGGTGGGTTGATGTTTTTCAAATCAAGAGTTTAACAGCTACAGCACTGTTCAGTGAGAGCTAAACCAGTCATTCCAGTTTTCTTCATGGGGAAATCTATTTAAGATTATTTGGTGATTAAAATAATTACTATTTTCATCCTGTTTGCTATTCTTTTCTTCAAGTTATTTAGGAAGACAAGCTTTAAAGAAAGCTATCAAGAACAGAGACTGAGTACATAGCACAGAAACAGGAATAGAAGGAGAGCACCCCTCCCCTCCACCTGCCCAAAGCTGCCAGAGGGCATAGCCCAGGAGCTTGGCTCATCAAAGCAGAAGGGTACACCCATGAGCATGGGCCTCTCCCAGGCTGGTCTACTGTTCCTCCACTTTGATGACCTCCTAGTATTGCCGATGAAGTGAAAAGCACAGGCTGGAGACACATAGCTGGTTCTCGTACTGTACACATTTGGAAAAGCAATCGCTGTGGTCCAAACACTCCCTAAAATCTGCAGTTACAGAACTAAAATGAACCTCTGAGTGGGGTCTTCATCATTCTCCTCAGCTATAAAGTCATACTAACCCAAATATCAATTTTGCAAGGGAAAGTAACCCACTTTAATAGAGAAAAGTGCTATTTCAGTGAACATAACAGAGTATTGGGTTTCCTGGCTGGAGTAAGTTACCAGCTTAATTTTAGATTAAGTTTGCACAGACATTGTGTATTTCCATAAGGAACCTCATACTGCTCCCAGGCCCCTTGAGATTCAATACACCAGACCCTTCTTGCTTACATCCTTATGTTCTTTATTTATGTCAATAAAAAGGATTTCACCATCCTACAGAGTTATGGACACTTCTGTTCCAAAGCTTAATGTATTACAATCAGTTCAGTTTTCCTATAATCATAAAGTAAAAGCCTTGCTGCCTTCTTGGCAGAGTTCACAAAGGTTCTGAGCCTCCGCGTAGTTACATTCCTGGCCCTGATACAGTTGAAATAATTCAGTTCACATTGTGTGACGACAATGGCCTTTGAAGATACCCGTGTCTTTATCCCTGGAGCCTGGAACCGTGCTACAGGGCCAAAGGGTGTTAAGGCTGCAGGTGGAAAAAGGTTGCTAATCAGGGACCTTGAGTCACAGGAGATCTTAGGCCAGGCAGGAGGAGGAAGTCAGAAGGGACCTGGGACTAGACCCACACTCGCTGCCTGAGAAGACGGCGGTAATGGTAAAAACATACAAATAAAACAAAACCAAAATCAAAAACAAAAACCCGAGTGGATTCTAGAAGCATGGAGCTGCTGAATCTTGATCATCCCCTTTACAGGCTCCAGAAAGATCACGGCTTTGCCAGAACAGCTTTGATGTCAGCACAGTGAGCCCCACACCTCTCTAGAATTGAGAAGAAAACAGTCTGTTGTTCTCAGACATTGTTTCCAAAGGACAGTAATCCAGGGTCACAGAGCTGGTTTCAGCTGTGACGAGGCTTCGCTGCCATGGATTCTCACTGAGATGGGAGAGGTGTGGACACAAGGGAAGCAAACCATTCTAAATTAAAACCTTGCTTCACTGGTGGCAACGCCATTTTGTTTTTTAATTTAAATGAAGAAAAAAGCTAAAATCAGTATTTTAACAAGCTCTCCAGATAATAAAAGTATGAAAAGCACTAGGTCACATTTATTAGAAATTATTTTAAAAGGTAGACAACTTTATGATGCTTCTTTCTCATTTTCTAGAGCAGCGGTTCTCAATCTTCCTAATGCTACGACAGACCCTTTAGTACAGTTCCTCATGTTGTGAAGACCCCAACTATAAAATTATTTCATCATTACTTCATAACTGTAATTTTGCTAGTCATGATTTGTAATGTAAATACCTGATACACAGAATATCTGATAAACAAACCCTATAAAAGGATCGTTAGATCCCCAAAGCATGGTGACCCAGAGGTTGAGAGTCATTATTCTAAAGCAAACATCTGAGCACACCCAAGGACACTAGGCTGTGATGTCTTAAAAGGCTCAAAGAACAAAACACATTCCTACAGCTCCAACAGGAAGGCCCTGTAACAACTCCATCAGTCTGGGACTGCAAAGGATTCTCCTCCTTTGAAAGCTTCCATGAGTTGTATGATTATAAGTATTAAATTTGCTACCTCTGAAAAGTCACTAGAGTTCCTTATAGTATTCATGGAGTCACGGGAAACAAAACAATTTCACCATGTAATATATTTTCTCTAATTTAATACAAAGAGAGTAATGATCCACATATCACAACACACTTTAAAAAGTTTTTAAGCACTAGTAAGTATTAAGTGAAAATAAACCTACTGATGGGCTAACAATGACCGTAGTATTATCCCTACCAAGTCACTTTGATGACGTCAGCAGTAACAATGTTTGAATGGCAGGGAGAGAAAAACACAAAGGGAAACATGGACATTTTAAAACTACATTTTACGTAGTGTTTACTTCTCCACTAACTCCCGTGTGTACCAAAACATGCACTCAGAAAGACTGTAAAGGCATTATGTCCGGGGAACCCTGTCAGTTATCCAGCCTTGCAAATCACTCCCATCTGTTCACAAAATTAAAATAACCAACGAGCATGTAAAACGTCCACTGGAAGAAGAACATTAGCATAGATCGCTAGCCAGAGGAAGGAAATCCACAAAGATGGCAACAGGAATAAGAAAAGCAGCGCAGTCGAGATGGATACCCAACAGTGAAGATAATTTGCTCTGGTTAAATCAATGCACCTCACTCAGTCAGCCACTCTACACTGTGAGAGACATAGGTGACAACCATTGTCCTGTTGGTCAGTTCTCACGCAGGAATTGGTCGCCAGGCAGCCTGGGAAGTGAAAACACCGCATCTACACCGACATTACAAGAGATGTTTCACAACTATAGAAAAGTCAGATCATTATGACAGATGTGTTTTATTTCTGTAAAGTACACAATTTAAGAAAACTTCACCAGAGGGAGCACTTTGGAAAGATATGGTCAGAGTATATGATGTAGACAAAACAGGCACCTCCATTGTAATTTGAATAATAAATAAAAGCCCATTAAGAAACAAAGAAGATAAGCAGCACCTGAAGCCTTGACATCAGAACTAAATGCTTGTACCCAAAAGTCTAGCCAGTTAAGTGTTACTAAGAGCTGCAAAGGAGGAGTTGCTGTTGACTTAACATTTTAGTTTTAGCAGAGACAAGCGCTCCTCGGGCTTGCCGTCCTGTCGGGGATCCCGATCTTCAAGTATCCTATACTTTGGAGAGCAGACCAGACTCAGGGGCACTCGCCTTAATTAGGTTCTGAATTTCCTTGAATTTCGGGTGATCTTTGTCAGCCACCAGCTGTAGCAGAATGGCCTCACTGGTGGTCACGATGATCCCAGTTCGAGCAAGACGCTAGAAAACAGAAACAAGACGTGAGCTAGAAAATGGAGGTGATTTAAAAACAGCAGAACCATTGGACAATAACTAGGGTCGTCATCTATAACAATGGTTCTCTGCCATAGCAATAAATTCAGTGATGGAGAAAGGTTTCAAAACCAGATGTATCACGAACCCATCTTCTTCGTATTAGTAATGGGTTAGATATCACTAAAGGGAGCCAGGGAGCCAGCGTCAAGATCTGTAGGTACTAGATTACCAGGCTAATGATGTAAACATGAGCAGAGAGAGGACACTGGTAGAAGTCATATCCCCATGTGTGCCAGCAATTTCTGTCAACTTGATACTCAAGCTGGGGTCTTCTGGGAAGAGGAAAACTTAATAAAGAAAGTGTCTCCATCTGACTGGTTCCTAGGCAAGTCTCTGGAGCATTTTCTTGATTAATGGTTGATGTTGGAAGGCCACTGCACCGTGGGTGGTGCCACTCTGGATCAGGTGGCCCTAGGTTATGTTAAAGACAAGCTGTGTAAGCCAGTAAACAATGTTCCTCACTGGCCTCTGCTCCAGTTCCCTCTAGGCTATGACTTGAGTTCTTGCTAGGGACAACTGTGTTATGGAGTTAAGATGAAATCAACCCCTTCCTCCCCATTTTGCTTTGGTCATGGTGTTTATCATAGCAACAGAAACCGAGTTAGGATCCAGCATGCCAGATGTGCACACTTCTCAGGGCTGGAACACTTCACCTCTGTTCACTCCCTCCAATGCGGACATCTTTTGGCTTCAAGCTTTGATAATCTCTTGTGGTTTGAGGTTTTGTTTTTGTTCTTTTGTTTTCTCATTTCTAACACCAAGAGCAAAAGAGGGAACTCATCTGCATTCACCCCGTGCAGTGTAATCAAAACAGGAGCCAGGGAGCATGTTAGTACTTTCACCTGGCATAACTGTCATTTGGTACCTATTTATTTAAAAAATAATCTCTACTATGGGTATAGTTATAACTATCCAGACTATTTTATTGCTAATTTGCTCTCCAACAATGTAAAATAGAAGTTTGATTGCATTAATAAAATAAAGGTTCTTAAATTCTTCTTTTCAGACTGCAGAAAGCAACACCTAAGGACTTGGCATAATTAAGAATCCTCTGGTTTAGGAATGATTGGCAAAAGTGAAGGGCCATGAGAGAGGTTTGAGAATCCGCCCAGAGAATAATGGAATCTCCATCTTTTCTGTCATTATAAACTTTTTAGAATGATTAAAGAAGGTTATAAAATCAGTAACTATGTAAAGTTGCCCACCAGAACTGTTCCTGACAGGATGACTTTTCCAGCAGAACCATAAAAACTCAAGGAGGCAAAGGAGGGGGAAGGAAGGGGAGGGGATAATCCCACGGCAGAGGACCACTCTCTGTAGTAATCAGTAGTAAGACACTCGGGAGTAAAGGGCAAATGGCTATCACAAGAAGCATCTGCTGCAGGAACCTTAGAAGAAGGCATGGCCTTGTACGAACCATAGTCTTGTCCGTCTACCCTAGCGATCTTTGGTGGTGCACAAAGCTGGTCACACTGAGGTGTACAGTGCTCCTTACAGACTGAGGGTTTAAAAATAACTAAGGAAAGAACCCAGATGAGAAGGAAGGTGTGGCAAAGTTTTTAGAACAGGATCCTGGGTGTGTGCACAGAGCTTGCCCTCCCCAACCTGGGAGGAACCTAAGCAGACAGTAGCAACAGCTTCTGGGGTCGTGCCCACACTTTCTCTCCAGAGCTAAAACGGGCATTAGGCCATGGAGGACCCCTCCTTATGCTTGCACAGGCAGTCCAACTGGGGCAATGATAAAGGAAGGCTCCTTTGTGTACACATGTAAAACTGTCTAGGCCAGGAATGGAGTATCCAACCTACTTCACATTCAAGCAACACCTACAACTACAGAGGCACCTAGTTCAAGAGAGGATTTACTCCATTCATTCTGCAATTCTGTGATCTGACAAAATCAGGTAAGTGTACGGTGGTACAGAAATCTATCATGTGATTATGAACATCATTTACTCTAAGGTGACACTCCCCAACAGATGACGAGTACATACAAGGAAACACTCAGTAAATAAAGTCCAGGCCACAGGCCTTATGCTTACTAATTATTCATCTTGCAAGGGAAATGAATGTAACAGGCAATACGGATAAGGATTGTCTGCAGTAGTTCTGCTCTGAAGGAATGAAGAAGAAGAGGCGCTGGCCATGTTGCTGTTAACTTTCAGTTCACAGAATAAAAAAGCATTTTCCCCAAAACTGGAGAGACAAACTGCATGTCCTCTACAGCAAGATACAATGAAGGGGAGCAGCAGACAAACTGTCGGGCACTGCACACATCACCTGACCTCACCTGCGGGCACTGCACACATCTCCTGACTTCACCTCACCTGCAGGTCACCTGACCTCATTGCAGGCACTGCACACATCACCTGACCTCACCTGCAGGCTTTTTCTGTCCTTTTGTAGACGTCTCAGGGTCACAGAATCAACAGAGCAGGGCTCATGACAGAGACTGAAGCGGCAACCAGAGCCTGCCGGGACAGCACTAGGCCCTCTGCCTACAGGCTGTGGTCGTTTAGCTTGGGGCTTTTGTTAGACTCCTAACAGTGGGAGTGGGAGTGTCTCTGATTCTTTTGCCTTCTGTGGGTCCCTTTTATTCCTGCTGGGTTGTCTCATCCAGGCTCGACATGAGAGTGTGTGCCTAGTCTTGCTCATCAGGCTGCATTCAGCTGATATCCCTGGGAAGCCAGCTCTTTTCTGAAAGGAAATGGGAAGAGCAGTGGGTCTGGGGGAGTGGGAGGAGGGCCTGGGAGGGATGGAGGGTGGGGAAACACAGGTCGGAATGTAATGTATGAGAGAAGAATAAAGACATAAATAAAATCCATATGAATGTAGGAGGAACGTCCTAGAAATATCTTCACAGCAAACAAGGCTTTGTTTAGTTTGTGTGGCTTTGAAATACTTCAAAGTCTGAGCATTACCATGACAATACAGTTTCCCCTGTGCAGGTAGCTGAAGATAGCTGCCGGATGAGAGATGGTCCGCTTGACAGCAGCTGTAAAATCTCAGCTTAATAAGAAAGCCTAAAAAGTGAGTCCTAATGAACTCACGCCTGAAGGAGAACTTACCGATCTTTGCTGCCAGGAGAAGAAGCACCACTCACTAAAAGCCAGAAAAACCAGTATTTCCAATCTGCATGGGGACAGCTTAACAAACTAAACTTCTACCTATCAGACAATGGTTTCAGGCTCCTCACCCCAAGGCTCTGGGGTCTCTGAGGAGAAAGGATGGATAGGCTGGAAGAGTGGGAAGTGGTGGACAGCATCAAGGACGTAGTATTTTCTAGGAACACAGGGAAATGCACAAGTGAACTCACAGTGATTTTAATACCACACAAGAGAACTGCGTAAGCCCCAGACAGATAAAATCCCAGCATAGAGAGGGGAAGGTGGACACACAATTCCACAACTAGCTGAGGAGCCACTGGCATTTGATAGTTACCACGAGAAAGGTGAGTTTGAGATCACACTGCAGGGCTGAACTCCAACAAACTGAACTTGACAGGCAAAGGACTTAACAAAACAAGTAATCTCAAACTTGGATGGGAAGAGATTCGAAAATGGAAAGAGTGGCAAGTTGGGGGATGCTGGAGAGAATTGAATATGCTCAAAAAACATTGCATGAAATGCTGAAATAAGTATAAATACTGAAATAAATAAACAAACAGCAAACTTCTATCCATAATAACAACAGGGATCCTACTCTCTAGAGGAAAACCAAGAAGGGAGGCGGACCAGGCTGCTACCTATGGCCTGTTGCCCGTGGCCTTTCCTCTTCTGTCCATTCCTTTTGAATGCTTGATGGCACTCTGGGCTACAGAGCTGACGCAGTTCCGACAGAGAACAATGCGTAAGTCAGTTTGTACCCAGAGTACTGTATGATCTCATGACAACAACAAACCCTTCAGCATTTATTTAAAATTGCTTCGAGTTTGTGTGTGTGTGTGTGTGTGTGTGTGTGTATGTGCATGAACACGTCCACACATTGTTCAGTGTGCATGGAGAGGTCAGTGGGTAACATTCAAGATTAATTTCTCCCCTTTCACTGTGGGATTCGGGAATTGAACTCAGGTCACCAGGTTTCTTCACCAAGCTCTTTTACCTTCTGAGTCATCTTGCTAGCCCTGCACTGATCATTCTTAATAAAAAAAAAAAGTAAGTAGTTTAACAATTCAGAAATTAGATCCATATATACATTCAAACTTATTGGTGAATTAGATATGATAAGTCTGAGAGGGAGACACACACCCTTCTGGAGTGAAATCCTCCCCAGGATTAAGTGCTAGCCTCAACAGTCTTGGAACAGAAGGGGCTTAGTTCAGATGGTTATTAGGCAACACTGATAAAGAACGGCTGATCCAGTGTCAGCCAGGAGGCACTCACTTAGAAAAGGCTACTCAGACTTGGATCCCTTCTGCCAGAGTCTGGGGCTAGATGTTGCTTGAGTTAACCTGCCTGAACCGACTGCGATCCTATAAAATTCAGTCCCGGCTACTTGAGACATCTCAAGTAGCTCATGTTGAACACTGCAGTAAAGGGACCATAAAACTATCAAGGAATTTTTAGCATCTCTAGAAATCTAATCCCAAGGAAAAACTGTAAGACTGTAACTGAACGGCCAGTTAGTGCACAGTTGCTTCTCTGAAAAGCAATGGCCTTCATATGCTGAGACCAAGCTATGGTTTAAAAGGCAAAATATTAGGGACTGCTAAATATCCAAGTCTTGTAATTATTCAGAAAACTCGATGAAGAACTTATTTTTAAGTAGAGCAAGTACCTCAAGAGCAAACATCCTGTCCATCATGCTTCTTGAGGAGGTGGCATCGGCAACGATGTGAACCTCGATGCCTCGGCCGACCAGCTCCAGGGCAGTTTGCTGGATACAGACGTGTGTCTAGCAGGGAAGCAAAGTATCACATGTAAGAACGCGGGAAACCGTTGGTGCTTTATATGAGTTCAAAAAGGATGCAAGAGGTCACTGGAATATTTAACAGCACTGTTTAGGCTCTCTTGAGCTAGGCAATCTCTAACACACACACAACAGCATTTCTCCAGACCAGGAGCTGACTTTATCAATGTTTCTCAAGGTCACACTGAACAGACTCTCAGAATTCCCTGCAGTTTCTAATGACTTTCAGCGAAGCCCTAGGAGTGGCCTTGAGAAAGCTCACTACCATCACTCCACTGCGGGGCCAAGGGGCCACTGGCATTTGCATTTGTGTCTACATTCATATCAAGTACTTAAGAGGATGAGCTGCAGGACTGAGAAAGTACTGGGGAAACTGAGTCATACAGAAGTAATGACAGGCGAAACCCATAAGAACATTCTGTAAATATACATTAGGGCAGAACAGAAAGGACTGAGAATCAAATGGCTTTCCCCATTCAGTTTAGGCTCCAGTTAGCCAGGTAGTTTTGAGCATAAATCAGTATTATCTAGCATTGTTTTATTCATGTGAAAATAAAGGATTTACTCAGTATCTATTACCATTACTGTACAGACCCTGTCTTCACAGGCATTGACTTGTAGACTTGCCTTAGAGGACACAAAACAAAATCTCCCTCTAATGGTAACTACGTTACATAACCAGCGAGTTACGTTTTCAGTACTGCCACCGTGCCCAGTGCCGGCTGTCCTCACATGACTAGAAAGCTCCGGTGAACGACCGGCTACTACCTCATGTAAATAGCCCTAAAGCGCTCCGCTGCTCAGAAAGTATTTCACCTGAGCATGAGAGCTAAGTATGATGAACAAAAAACCGTGCAAAAGCCACCGCATTTGTACCACGTGGTCACACACACACTGCCTCTCTAATTTCACGGCTGAACTGAAAATATAAGAAAATACTTAATGGGCATCACACTTAAGATTACATTTTTTTCTGCTTTGAAAATCTACTATGATAAAACCTTATTATCAAAATATAACCATTTGTTTGTGTTATTTTATCGCACTGAGTTAATAATTTTCTTCATAAATTTTAAAATTTCAGTACAACATTTGTTTAAAAAAGATAGAAATAAGCTGAGTATGGAGGCACAGTCCTGAAATTTCTGCATGCAGGAGGATTGCTATAAGTTCAATGCCAGCCTAGGTTACAAAATGAGTTCCAGGCTATTTAGCAAGGTCCTATCTCAAAAAAATAAATAAAATAAAATGTAACAAGTCAACTGAAATTGGCACTAGGAATCCATAGTATGTTTTTTTTTTCTTCATAAAAGTAGGTATACAAACCTACTTGCAGGATGGTGAACTATAGAACCTTGAGAATGGGGTGAAGTGGGTGCCCCTAGTGAAGCCCACTAACACACAAATAAAATAATTAATGCCTTTAGAGAAAACGCAGGTGGTTCTCACGACAGCCGAGGATCACTGGCCTGGATTCAAATGCTGCCTCCTCACTGGCTGAGCATTGGCAAGGCACTGACATGGCTATACTTTAGTTTCTCGTCTGTGATCCTGGCAGACCAAGGCTACGCAGCTCACAGGGCTGTGAAAGTTGAAGGTGGTGACAGCCACAAGGCATTCAAATCAGTACCATGAGGGTGGAGGACACGTAGCCAGTGGTGGCACTTCTCCTCAGGGCCACTCACTACTAGCTTCCTGTAAACAAGACCTCACATCCCCAAACTCAAGATGGTGCTTACTTCTACTCCAAACAGTACAACACTGCGGACGCCAGGAATCTCGGCTAAGGCCGCTTCCACTTCCGGTAACACCATAGAAAACTTGGTCTTCGGAAGAACCAGTTTGACACCTGTTAAGTCGATCTCTTGCACCGTGCTGCCAAGGCCTTTGGGGTACTGTTCTGTTATGATAACCGGAATTCCTAATATCCGAGCTCCTTGTAACTGAAAGAAATGTACCAAACAAAATTATAAAAAAAAAAATGTGTTGAGTAGCGATACGAATGTATATTGTGCCTCAGCAGATTGGAATGAACAGACAGACAGACAGACAGACAGACATACCAGTCTCTGTCCCACACTAATAATGTCTCCAAAGTACTTGATGGCTGGTCGGAATCTTTCCTGCATGTCACAGCAGAAAAACACAGTGCTGGGAGGCGTGAGGTTTCCCAGGGTCGTAAGCTGAGGAAAGAAGACAAGGATGATCTGGGGTTTGTATTACAATGACATTTAAGGCCAGGGGAGGTCAAGGTGAGAAGAAAATGTTCCTATGGTCTCTCTCAGAAAGCAAACGTAACATAACCAATACCACAAGAAAGTATCCAAGCCGGGTGGTGGCGGTGCAGGCCTTTAAATCCCAGCACTTGGGCGGCAGAGTCAAGCAGATCTCTGTGAGTTCAAGCTCAGCCTAGTCTACAGAGTGAGTTCCAGGACAGGCTCCAAAGCTACACAGAGAAACCCTGTCTCAAAAAACAAACAAACAAACAAACAAACACAAAAACAAACAAACAAAACCAAAGACATTCTTCAAACTGCACTTGGTAGAGAAGGGAGAAATAAAGCAAAGACAAACAATATCTAAATGTTTAAAGAATGTTAATATATTCAGAGAAAAAAACATTTTAGTCAATTAAAAATGTATGCATGTTTCAAAGGATTCCTTTCATCTAAGGAGAAGTTAACATCTAATGTTAATTTTTACAACAGCACACTTGAATAGCATTCAGTGACATAAAAATATAAAAGAAAATATCCAAAAATTAGCAGGTAGTTCACATTACATATAATTTGAATATTTTTCTTATACTCTTTATTTTTGAGTGTATTTAAAAGCATTTGTTGAATGTTACTGTGAATATAGCTTCAATATTTACAATAATAAAAAAAAATCTGGTAGTAGTATTACAGGCAAGGAAATTATATTTTAATTTCATGCAAAGAAAATAGCAATTTAAAAAACAATCTGTAGCAGAGACCATAAGGCACAAAACTAAAAACAAACAGAAAACAAACTAATTCATAGCAAATGGAAAACCACTGGTCTCAAGAAAAAATAAGAAGAAGCCACTTGCAGGGTGACTTCTGGAGGGTAGTAAACAACACATGGAAACTGCCCTGGGATGGCAGGAACTAAAGGCTGAATTCTTACACATTATCACGAGTGGGAAAATTAATGAATTAGGAAGGAAACCGGGAATCAAATTTCCAAGATTCAGATCTGCTGCAGGGAGCCCACTCCAACAGTCAGGGCCCTTGAGGAGCCGTTAACTATAAAACTCACACTGAACACAGGAATTCAGCTTCGCTAGAGAACTGGAAGCCCAAGGTGCTTCACTTCCCGCCTTGCGAGATAAAGAAAGTGTTTGGTCCAGAACAGATGTCATTACTCCTCTTAGTCACCCACTAAAACCCCTCTAATTAGGCTAAATTACCCATAGATATCAATTATTAATAATTTCCTGGAGAAGCCTATGTACCAATTGCATGGCTGTAGCCTCGGCAGCAGCTCAGCTCCAGACCTGGCCTTACCATCCCTGCATACGGCAGACTCAAGAGGAGACAAGTCCTCCGTGGATTATCGGGGCCTCGGAAGCAAATGTCTTATGGCCAGTGCTGCGGCCATGCTAACTGCTCTGATGGCTTCTGTCTGTGCTCTGGCTGCAGACTCTAAGACTTCATCTCCCACTGCAGCTGAGGCTACAGCGTGCACACTCAACCATCGGTGATGGAGAACCACCTGCCAGTCAACACTACCGAGAGACTCCAACTTTGCCAACAAAGCATTATTAGTAAAGTAAGTGCTCACGTGCTTGGGCTGTTTCCTTACACTTTTCAAATCATACCTTTTTACCTGTTTGTTTGTTTATGTATATTTATCGTGTGTGTGTGTGTGTGTGTGTGTGTGTGTGTGTGTGTATGTACATGTAAGCTCGAGGATTTACACTGGGAAGCCGGGCGGCAACTCCAGAGACTCTTCTCTCCTCCTGCCACTGGACCTCTGGGGTTAGACCTCAGGTCATCAAGCTTGGTGATAGCACCTTAATCAGCTGAGCCTGAGTGCCTGCCTAATCCCATAGTTTAGCCATTTCCAAAGCAGGAACATGACCTACACACAGAAGCCAGGAAGACCAGCTTTAGTGTATTCAGGATATTGTTTTTAAAAGCAATCACTACAAATGACTTACGCGTTTTTAGATGCCAGTAAACACTGAATCTTAGTTCACTGTGCTCAGCATCTCTCTCCTTCATAAATCTGAACAAGAAGTATCACAGTGCCTCTGTGATTAAGGTATATGCTAGAAAACAATTTACTTATAAAAGCGGCCTCTTTTTTGAAATTATGGTAATACAACTTAATCAAACTTGCCGTTCTAAGAGCCAGCAAGTTTGCCCAGGAAACCTCTGGCAAGCACATAATAAGCTTGCTAACAGTCAAGCGCTGACATGCTCACAGTTCACAGACACCCAACTATCCACACAGACAGGTCACAAAAGCTCCCCAGCCCAGCTCTCCCATACCAACTCAGTCTACATAGTCTAACATGGTAGGCCCCGAAAGGAGGCTGGCAGTCTACATTCTAAATTCACAGAAAGCAAGAGAGTTACCAACAATTAGCAATATAGTGCTGGAGGCAGACAAATTAACAGTGGCAGGAACTGAGAGGGGAGATGGGGAAAAAAAATATCCAAAATAGAAGAAAAGCAAGCCAAACTTAGTTCCACTGGCGTCTGGCGAGGTAATAACACACTGTTCTAAATTAGGAAATGTCATTCCAGTATTCATTTAGAGTGTCAAAAAAAGGGAGGGGGAGAATATGTCAAATAATACACTATTTAGAGGAACCACAAGAGAATACGGTCAAAATATTAAGTTATTTTGTTAAATTAGTGTTGAGATACTAAGTTATATTTGAATAAGTCCTTACCTAGTTAGAAATATGAATGTATGGTCTGAGGTCAGAAGGATAAGCAGCCCTAAAGCTGTCCTCACCCCACAGAACCCTGTTCCGTAAACAAAGAAAGATGCTACAGTGAGCGGTGACATGTTTGATTGTAAAGATGGGTTTTCTGATTGTGCAAGCCACAGATATTTCCCTGGACCCTTGAAAGTGACTGCCCTTGGCAAAAGCCTGCCCAAGGTAGAGTGAGGAAAACCAATGAGCTAGGCGGGCCTCCTGCACGCCACAATGTCACAACACACTGTTGTACTTGACGGGAGAATGGACTTCATGGGTCCTCAGGGTCCCACAATCTCAGTTTACCCCTAAGAAAAGCACTATGCACGTGAAGCCTGAGGACACCCCACCCAAGCACCTGACTTTCCTACACTGTCAAAGCCATTCATAACAATCATAATCAAAGAAAGTGTCGTAGCCCGGAGGATACAAGGTCAGTAAGCATGTGGATCTAACTATATCCTGACATGGACTGTGGATAAGATCGTCCTGAAATACAAACCAGAGAAAAGACAAGAAGAAAAAGCCACTAAAAACCAGTGTGCAGGGGCTGTAGAGCTGGCTCACTGGTTGGTCAAAAGCATTCACTGTTCTTCCAGAGGATCCAGGCTTAGTTCCCAGCATGCTCTGGGCAGCTCACAACTGCCTGTAACTCAAGATGCAGGATGCTGCCCTCTTCTGAACTCCACAGGCCCCTGCACTCACGTGCACACACCCACCGTTTACCGGTTATTCCTGGTTGTCAACGTGACCGTATGTGGACGAACTATAATCCGGAAATGGAGGGCACACCTGTGATCTGATCTTGAGGCTGGAAGACACAGCCTCTGACCCAGATCTTGAGGTGGGATGACATATGCCTTTAATCCAGACCCTGAGGTAGGAAGATTCACCTTTAAGGTAGGCCACACTTTGCTGGATGCCGATATAAGGGCAATGGAAACTGAAAGGTTTTCTTTTTTGACCTGCTTGCCCTCACCTTGCCAGCGCATCCATTCCTTCACTGGCACTGGAGTCTACTTCTTCGGGATTCCAGCATATACTGCAGACCAGCAGAGACACCCAGCCGCGTGGGGCTGAGCAGCTACTAGATTCCTGAACGTTCTAGTCACAGCTAGCCACTGTTGGGCTGCAGCCTGTAAGTCATTCCAATAAATTCACATATATAGAGAGATTCATTCCATAAGTTCTGCAACTCTAGAGAACCCTGACTAGTACACTCACACAGATACACATATGTACTAAAAAATTAAAAATAATAAAAAACAACTTAAAAAATATCCATTGGGCAGCTAAGTTCATAGTAAGTCATCAAGCTAGTCCTTTGGTTGTGACAAATGAACCACACAAAAGTACAATATTAACAACAGAGGAATCGGTGGGACAGGGGAATACAGAAAGTATGTACTATCTAAGCAACCGCAGCATAACTCTAAAACAAAAGACTTCCAAAATGCAAGTCTTCTTTAAAATACAAATATTGGCTTCCGTGGGCCATGGTAGTTGGAGATAAGTTATGACTGTGGAAATAACCTCAGATCCACCAAGTCACAAAAGGAACAAAAACCAAAACCAAAAAATTCTAACCATATTACCCACCTAATGTAATCCTATCTCCTCCGTATCCCTAAATGCACATAGATTCCAACAAGATGCTGTTATGATTCAATTCAATTATAATTCAGGAATTTCTTATCCGACTCAAAAAATTTAATTAAATCTAAATCGCAGGTACCTAAGAGTATTGCCAATGGCCCAAAATATATATTTTACAACTGGAAGATGACCAGTGCTGCCATGATAAAAGCCGATCTGACCGAGTATCTTCACAAGCAAAAATGGAGCACCTGCAAATCAGTGTGGATTCAAAAAGCAAATCACCTACAAATACATGCATAGACATATTTAAATATAAAAGTTTGATTATTTTAATCAGTAGCTTCCTGAAACAAGAGTTTGAGAGATAGAATTTAAGTGGAAAACTCATTGTTCACTTCCTTTAGACCCGCCATAGTGTGGATTTGACCTTAGATTTCATACTGAGGAGAACAGTAGAGTATCTACAGACTTGTCACAGTCTAATATTACCATGCATTTTACAAAAGGGTCACGGGCCACTCAGCAACACACACACACACACACACACACACACACACCACCAGTTCCTGGAATGGAAGTAGGATATGGTATTGAACAGTGCAAAGTCATTCTTGAAATTCCTAACCCCAGCACCCGAGAGAACAACCTTCCAGGGAGCTAGAGTCCCTGTGCAGATAACTTGATTTGAGATAAAGTCACCCCACCCATTGAAGTAAGGTGTGTAAGTAGCTGCCAAGGACTGGTGTCTGTATGCTAAGGAGACGCTTCTACAGAGAGATGGACAGACACACAACAAAACTGCCTTGGTCAAGAAAGCAGGGACTGGAGTGATGTTCTCTGCAAGCCATGATCTTCCACAAACAGGTGGAGAAGGTCGTGAAAAGATTCTTCCTCTCAGCCCCTCAGAAGGAACCATTCCTGCCCACACCCTTGGGCTCTAGCCCCCAGAAATCTGAGAATGTCTGTGTTGTTTCAGTCCCTCAAGCTAGCAGTGCCTATGATAGTCCCTGTGCCGCAGTGTTTAGGGATGGGAAATGTGGTAAGACAGGTGATTTGCCTTCTAACATGGGTAACCTATTACCATCACAAGATCAACATGATCTACTTAAGTAAAAGTCTGAAGGGGATCAAGGGATCAGGACTGAAGTCCTGTTTCCAATCCAACTGTATAGCTTCAGTAAGGGGTAAGGCTCTGACCCAGTATCTCCTCACTTAAGACAGAGGTTTCCCCACCCCACACACACAGCCTTCAAGGATTCCAGACACAGCCCAGGCCTGTGGGCATTAGAATCTCCGTTCAAATCTCGGTTTCACTATGTTCAGTTATATAACTATAGGTAAATCATTAACATCTTCCAATATAATGTCCTTATCTTTAACACAGTTAAGAAAAACAGTATTTTTCTTCGGCTGTGGTGAGATTCTGCAAAACAAACATTTGAGTCAGCACAGGCTGGGATGGGAAGCTCTCTAATGAGATTAAAGATGATTTATCATCAAGATCGCTCTAGAAAAATCACTGCACTAATTTAGTGTGCAGAATTAGGAAACTCATTCATAAAGTGTATTTCCAGACACCACCAAAAGGCTCATCATCGGATGATTTATTTCTGGCAAAACAGATTCTGAGACTTTTCGTTCAGATGGCAAGGGAATATTTCACTGTAGCTTTTAGAACATACGTACCTACTCTGAGCACTGACGTCCCTGGTATAATATTACACCTGCAACTTATCATAAAGTCTGAGCTCTCTGACTCCCCAAGGAAGGCCAGCTGTGCCTACCCACTGAGAGCAGAGACCTGAGGGATCTCCTGAGACTATGTCTCAAAGGGATGAAAGCCAAACCTGGGCCGAGCCAAGAGCACACTGACATTTAAATCTACATTAAGATTCCCCTTGACTAACTAAATGGAAGAAAGAGGAAAAAACCAATCAAATGCAGGTCACATGCAGCTCCCACTCTACAAGGCTGTTTATTTATAGGTGCCTGCTAATTTACTCACAAGGAACTAAGGGATACAATGGGTATTACTCGGCAATACTGCAAGTTTTCAAGCCCCCCCTATACCTCGATAATCATATATCCCATAACTCCCTCTGTCCATCAAACCAATAGGCTGGAGATAACACCCTAAAGTCAGGACCTAGGCACCTCTTCTCAGTGTCCCCTAAAGCACATTGCCCCCCAGATACACCCTGCCAGTTCCCTCACTCAGAGAGTGGGGTTATCCCTGTGTTTTTCCTGTGACATCCAAACAAGCTAAAGCAAAGGTCCTAGAATCAGCATCTCTACCTTCCATCAGCGAGCCACCAGCAGGCCATATTCTGTTCCTTCTTCATTGTATTTCTGCCTTTCCTCCTTGACTGTCTCTTCTAGTAAGACGTCTATGCCCCACCCTCAAAATAAAAATCTTACTAGAACGTGAAAGCCAGACCCAAGTCCTCTCCCAGTTAACCGCCCTAAGAACATGTCAGAATAACCTGCCTAGAGCAGCTCGTATCTCCTGCTCTCAAGAGCTGCCAAAACCTTCCCTCCTGTCTGGCCTGTATCTTCCTGACAGCATCCATTTCTTCCTGTCATCTTCTGCTTGGGCTCGTTCTGCCCTGGACAAAGTGTGAGACCGTGGGATGATGCCTGGCTTTGTGTGCGTCTCCAGCATTCCACGCCTGCATCCTGCAGATTTGGAAAGTGAGTCATCATAAAAGACCTAAACTTCTACTCCACCGTCCCTTCATTAACATCCCGTCTCCAAAGCCTCTAAATTCATCAGACTCCAGATACACAAACCATGAATGAAACATGAGCTGTGTCTTCAGCTACCTGTGCTGTCAAACAGACACTTAGTCACTGACAGGGTATTTTTAAAAAGGAGTCCCTAAAAAGTTATCACACTCTAGTGTTAGCAATAGAGATCTTCAAGATCAGCTCCCAAAGAATTGTTGCCAACCCCTGGGGCAATGTGGCACAGCCACATACTATTATTGCACAAGGTCATTGCCCACACAGAGAACAGCTCAGGGAACTAGTAGTCCCTGCCTCGAGTCAAAGGGAACAGGGCTTACCACCCCCATTGCTTCCACCTCCCCAGGAGCCACCTTGAGTCTGCCTAAGAAGCAGGTGTTCATAGGAAAAGAGCAGGGAGCAGCATCAAGAGAAATGAACAAACAGAAGCTCAAGTCTGACTCGCTTTCCAAACTGCTCCACATTCTCACCAAACGCAAAAAGAAAAGAGCCACGCTGTGGCAGATATCCAGACATTCAGTGAAGACTTCCTGATGCTTTGCTAGCTTGGCCATTATAACCATGCCATCCAGGGCAACTTGCTAACCTTCCCACCTCCCAATGCTCTGCTCTTCAGAGAAATAAACCTCATCACTTCTCCAACAAGAATTGAATCCAGGCTTGCATCCACTATGAAGCGCACTCAAAGACGTCACCTCAGTGTGGAATGAACTCTTCTGCACGTAAAACACCCACGTCAGTAAGGTAATACAGGAATATTCCAGAAAACAGAGTAGCAATGAAAGAAGTATCTTTTCGGAAAATACATCCATGTACATAAATACACGCGTGTGTATGTCATATCCTATGTAAAATATTCTTTCATATTAGCTACAATTATGCTGGGAAAAGCGCATGACTGAAGGAAGGTATGGCAATTACTAACGTGAGAATATCCAAGTATTTGTATGCACTTCAAAACATAGACAGATACATACGGAAAAGACTTCTTGGGTCATTTAGTGAGGAAAAAAATACTATTTGTTAGTAGATAAAAAAGAATAGTGCTACTGCTATAATGGTTGTTTTAAACATCATTACGAAAAATCAATTATATATAAAATATTTCAAAAGCCAGAATGACCTGAATTATACATTGTCTTTTCAGCATGAATGCCTGTCTCTGCTCTCTCTCTCTCTCTCTCTCTCTCTCTCTCTCTCTCACACACACACACACACACACACACTGAATTTTAGACCCTTTAAGAGTTTAATCATGTCTTGAAATTTTCAAAATCTAAAAATCCCTACTGTAGCACACAGAAAACAAAAACAAACTTAAACAGTGGAAGCCTGTCTCGAAAAAACAAAACAACAACAAAAAGCCGAGTTTTTTTAGTACAGCAGTACGGGAGCCCCTCACTCTCCTAGGAAAAACAGGAAATGGTTGACAAAGATGTCTGTATCTTCAATACAGGTCCAGATCCACTGGGTATTTTATTCTGGCTTTATAATGGATTTGTCAAAGATGCATCCAGCATATTGACTGTTTGGCATGGGTAGTCTAAACGGACGTTTGGAAGGCTGCAGAGAGCTGTCATCTAGAACTCTTAAAGGGATAAAATATGGAGAATCTTAACCACTGAAGAATGCAGCTCTCCATCTGGGCAGCAGGACCGGCCTCTCCACCCACTCCAGCGTTCTGGCATTTAGCCCATGAACTCTGTCCTCGGAGCATATGAACTTTAATCAAACTGAAGTCCTCCCTTCGGATCCATAGATGTGGGGGAAGGGGCAGCACCATCCAGCCCGTCTCTGACTACAGATAATAAACGAAAATTAGGGATAAGCCTCTCAAAATGGCACTTGGATATGAAAATTCATTCTAACCTCAAAGGCCACACATTTCAGTTCGCCTTCCAGAGAAAGGACTTAATAATTCTTCAAGTAGAGAAAAAAGAAAACAAAAAACAATGGTTGGTGTAGGTCCTAAGTCACACCGACCTTCCTTCCTTTGGAAAGCATACATTCGCCAGAGAATTCCTCGGATCTTAGGACAAGAGACTACTCTGCATCACACGGCTTTTAGCAGTATAAAAATTAATAAACTCTAACCCTTAGGTATAACTTCTTCAGCCTAGGACTCACAGGCTTGCATTAGTAGGGCTATTTAAGAGGCGTCTGCGGTTCCCTGCCTACGAAGGCACCCCGACTGTCACCAAAATGAAAGGAGAGGAGGAGCGCCGGCAAAGTTTGCATGTCTGCAACTGGTTACCACAACTCCCGGAACCAGCCGTGAAGCTAACACGCCCCGCGATCTGCATCACCCGTGAACATGGGAGCGGCGGCGGCTGCACGGCTACCGAGGAGGCTGCGGCACCAAACCGTGGGGCGCTGGGGACCACACACGTGGGGGCGTGAGCGGCCCGCGGGGACCCGGCAGGGCGGGCGAACGGGGGCGGGACCCACCTGGATCTGCAGCGGCACCAGGCGCAGCTTGCAGCGCTCGCTCACCGCGAAGCCCTTGGGCAGGTCCACGTACTGACCCCACTCCTCGGCGAAGAGCTGCACCACGAATTTGCGGTGCATGTCGAGCTGGTCGCCATAGAGGCTCAGGAACTTCTGGATGAGCACGTCGTAGCCGGCGCCGTGGGGCACCGACGCGGGCCGCGCGAACACCGAGAAGCAGAAGAGCACCGGCACGCCGCCGCCCCCCGACGGCGCCCCCGCGCCCACACCGCCGCCGGCCAGCGCGGCCACCGAGGGCTCCGCCGCCGCCATGTTCCCCCGCGCGTGCGCGCCGCCTCCGCGCGCCAGGCCGAGGGGCGGGCCCTGGATGCCGGAGACCCGCCCGCGCCGCCCCGGGGCTGGTCCTGCAGCCGCTGCCACCGTCACCTGTGGCGCGCAGCGCGCGGGGACAGCCGCCGGCAGGGCCCGGTGCAGCCGGGAGAGCAGTGGCAGGCCTCCGTGGAGGACCAGACCAGGCTGCAAATTACCGTCTTCCGAACTGCGGTCGAGATCGGGTTATCTCGTGCTTGTGTTCGGAGAAGGCTTGGAATGGGCACCGAAGGGCAGAATCGGAACTTACTGAAAGGGAAGGTTTTCCTGTTTAAGGAGGTGCAAATCATCACCTTCACAATAGAGCAACCCCATGGACACTACAAGATGCGGCAGTTCACAAGCTTTGGAGCTCCTTGACCTCAGATCTTATGCACGAAGTGCTGGTGGATATAAGCCTATAATTAGATTTGAGATAGTAATCCTTATAAGATAATGAGTTTGTTTTGTTTTGACAAGATTTCTCGGCTACAACTGTTGATTTGGAACTGATGTTTGTTCAGGAAGCAAGTACATTTATAAAAATGCATAAAGTGCATTTATAAAATGTCTAAGGTATCTTTTGTTTGTTTGTTTGTTCATTTCTTCTTCTTTTATCCCCCTAAGGAAATCAATTTTCAAATCCATTGTTCCGAGTCTAGCTTTTGGCAGCTTGATGTAGTGATTCAGTCTCCGTAGCAATAGTGTATCAAATAACATAAATAACACCATATTTGCTGGGCACAGTCACATTCAGGTAGGTGCAGCAATGGGAAGCAAGCAGTACCTCACCTCACTGTAGTAGAAAAAGAACATAAATGCTCATTTCACTGATAAATTATTCTCAATAATCTTATCTTTAGAGTAGTAATTAAATCTACTTAAATAAATGGTTTTGAAGGGAACCAGTGAATAGGAACCCCTAAATAAACATTCAAGTGACGCATAGCATACAATGAATTAGCCTAACTGACAAAACCATTATTATGGAAATGCTCACATTGATCTCAGATAGGCTCTTGGGAACACAGCTGATTAAAAATTAAACACTTTATCACAATTCAAATTCCGAGCCACTCAAGAAATTAGATTATGCAGCATTGATTAATATGTTAATATACTTCCAAAACAACCCCCTCAGTGAATTAATACACGGACTGTTTGATTCTTGCTTTTTCTATTAATCAGCAACACTGGAGACGCTGATTACTCTTTTCTTTGTAGTCATAATCTTCATCTCTTACATACCATACTTTTCATATTTTCCCCTCCAACTATGTTCCTCTAATTGCTTAAAATGCGAACCCAGTGGTTCTCAACCTTCCTAATGCTGCGGCCCTTTAATACAGTTCCTCATGCTATAGTGACCCCCCAACCACAAAATTATTTTTGTTATTACTTTATAACTAATTCTGCTACCGTTATGAATCACAATGCAAATATCTGTTAGGTGACCCCAAGGGAGTCAAGACTCACCACTTTAAAATGGTATTACGCAGGCCCCCCGTCTTGAATTCCAACTCATGGGAAAGTATCTGTTGAACATCTTGGGTTGGGATAGGAATAGATAATCTCACACGGAACATGATGGGCAGAAAGAACTCTTGATTTTACCTCCTCTTAAACATTTGCCTTCCCCTGTTATAGCTAAATAAATAGCAATTTATTTTATTCAGAGTATAATTATAGGTTGTTGTTTACCATTATCTTGTTTCTCTTCCCTCTCTAATCTCATCAGTGAGACCTGATGCTCCGAATCCTAAGATTGCATCCATGGCAGTGCTACTGGTCCAGACCAAACCACCACCATCATCTCATTGCTGACCATAACTCACCACAAGTGGTGATGATCTTTGGCTCATGTGGCCCCATTTCTGTCAGTTAGCACATTTCATCTGCTTGCATGCACCGCGGATCAAAACCCTCTCGTACACAGATGTGGACCTGCAGAAATGCAGATGATGAAATTAAGAGAGCAGAGCTTTAAGAAGTTATAAGCAAATTTAGGAAATTGGAGGAGAGGATGATCACGAGGAAAGTGATAGCAACAAGGGAAGAGCAAGAATGGTTAAAAAAAATAAGATAACAAACACCCTGTCTGGATGAAATGCCCCTGGGTAGTCGTCTGGTGTAGGCTGCAGAAAGGGGATCACCGCCATAGCAAAAGATTAGTAAAAACTATCCAAAGTGACAAGCAGAGGGTAAAGTGTAGGAAGGCAGTTTAGGTCACTTATGAGGCAACGTGAAATCATTTGCCATCTGTCCTTGGAGCTCACAAGACTGCAGCAGAGAGAATGACAAGCAGTGCTTTCTAGTAAGTGTTCTGCATGCCACTTTTCCTGCAGTGGGGTCTCGAGTAAGATGATGACCACCACCAATGTCTGTGGCACAGCCAGGAGCCCCTAGCACGGTTCACACTTTTATCAACAGTGACCTGGGATTACATTAGCAGGAATGAATGCAGTGGTAGCTGTACTAAGCACTGAAAAATATGGAGCAAGTAATCATAAGAATAAAGGAATTGAGTGACAATATCAACGCTTGACTGCTGCATTAGGAGAAAAAGAAAATTGGTGATGAGAAGTGGAGTCTAAGGGGCAGAGGCCTTTGTTGACAGCATTGGGAGTCTTAAGTCCCTACTGTGGGAAGACAAGAAACTGAGAATGAAGGCCAGAATTCAGCAATTCAGCTAGTAGCAGAGTTTCAAAGAGTAAATATTTCTTACTATAAATGGATTTGTTTTTGCCTGTATTGGGGATCTAACCTAAGGTTTCACACTTTAGGTAAGAATTGTACTACTGAGCTGCATCCCAGCTCCACCTCCTCCCCACTTTGCTTTCTGTTTTATTATTCTATGTGATTAGCATACAAGTTGCCAGATTTCACTGAGACATTTTCGTCTCTGTGTATCATTACACATAGTTTTTATTCACCCCTACACACACACACACACACACACACACACACACACACACACAAATTGTGTCTTCTTTCTCCATCCTTGCTGGTCTCCCTTCTTCCAAACAGTCCTGCCTTCTTTCTTATTTCATTCGTCTTTCTTGCTCTCCCCATCCTTTAGAATCTAAAGTTCAGACCCTCCCCCATAGTCCCCTTTCTCTTTTTGTTGCCACATATGTATGCATCTATCTGCACAGATGTCTATATAAATTAATTCTAGATTTCACATATAAGAGAAAACACTTAATAATTGTCTTTCTGAGCCTGTTTACTTCTCTCAACATAGTGATCTGAAGTTTCTTATGTTTTCCTACAGGTGTCAGAACTTCATTTTTTTATAGCTGAATATATTCTCAATGTATGTGGTGTGAAGTGTGAGTATGTGTGTGTACATGTATGTGTGCATGCACACACACTCCCCACATTTAATGTATGCCCGTAAGATATGAGCTCATCTCTTGAGTTAAAAAGTCTTGGTTGCCTATAATATAATATAATATAATATACAATAGAATAGTGTAGCAATAAATATGGATGTCCAAATATCTCTGTACTATGCTGATTTTAATCTCTTCAGTATTTAACCAAGAGTGGTATTGCTAGATCATTAAATCTATGGCAAGTCTAAGCATGAATCACAATCCAGTACCACTAGTTTTGAAACCAGACCATGACATCAATCCTCAGAGGGTATTTATATGGAGTGGATAGGCCATCAAATGACAAACAAATAATACCATCTATCATGAGATGATTTCATCAAATGCATCAAGATTATAGGAAGTAAACTAGGCCATAAAAAAGAAGAAGTTGTATATTTGACATTCAGCACAAGAAAAAAATAAACCACATAAGCAGCATGAAGAGGAAACCCAGACATTCATGCCATCCACTACTGTCCCATCCGAAGGTCCCAAAGGGATGCATGGGAAAAATATCGCATGGTTTACAAACATATTGGCTCAGTATGTTTATGTAAGTCTTGAAGATAGGAATAAGACGCATCGCTCCCAGTAGGCAAAACTTCGGGTCGTGACCTGGTCATATAGTTCATGGGGAAAGAAGTTTCCTGAGCTGAGAATATGAGGTGCATAAATGGCTTGGCCAACTAGTCAGACCCAAGTACAGATACGGAATCAAGAAGACCTGCTTAGAGGCATGGGAATGCACACATGGGAATGAGCACAAGGCACAGCAATTATTTTTATATTTCATAGTGATGCTCCTCAGAGAAACTACTAAAGAAAGCGAACCATACCCAGTGAAAATCAGAGTGTATGAGTAACTCCTGAAACTCAACAGTAGAGACAAACAATACCACTGAAACGAGATAAAAGATTCAAACACTTGACTCAAGAAAGAAATGTCCAAAAAGCACACACAAAAAAAGTGCTTAACACCACTAGATGTCTGAAAGGTGCAAATTAAAGACACAAAGGATTTTCCTTCTCAGTCATTAGAAACAGAAGACAAAACAGGAAATGCCGAGTCATGCTCCCTTTGGATCCTGGTACCCTGGCTAGAGGCAGAGAGGGAATGAAGAAGGGACAGACACATAGATACATGGACAGTGAAGCTAGGATAAGATAGAGCTCTCTAACTTACGACTGCAACCCAGAACCTCAGTGCGCTCGTGCTAATGGGTACAACACCACTGCAGACTTGCAGGTCTGCAAGTGAGTAACCTCAGTGCTTTTTTTTTTTTTGTCCCAGCAACAGAAAAGTAACTAATAGGGTGTGCATAAAGATACAAGCAGGTTACTGATCTTAAAATCAGAAAATACAAGAGTTCGTTGACTTAATAATATCCTTCAGTGACACATGACTGTATACTAATCTAAAATGTTCACTGCCTTCCTGTCTCAGTGTGGCACAGTCATCCCATCACTGTGTTCAGGCAGCTGTAATTCTGACCTGTTCTGCTATTCCTAGCTGTCATATTTTCTTTTCAAAGAATTTGCTTTCAGAGACACATTTCTATTTTAGTACATTCACTTCTCCCTGCCCATCCTTTGAGAGGAGAGAAAGATGT